GCTGTGTTGGGCAGGCCCGGGCAGGGGAAGAGCTGCTGGGCCCGGGCCGTGAGCCGGGCATGGGCCTGCGGCCAGCTGCCCCAGTATGACTTCGTCTTCTGCGTCCCCTGCGGCTGTTTGGACCGCCCGGGAGATGGCTACCGCCTGCAGGACCTGCTCTTATCACTGGGCCCGGAGCCACTGGAGGTGGACGACGAGGTCTTCGGCCACATCCTGAGGAGGCCTGACCGTGTCCTGCTGGTGCTGGATGCCTTCGAGGACCTGGAGGCGCAGGACGGCCTCCTGCACAACGCGAGCAGCCCGGCGGCCCCTGAGCCCTGCTCCCTGCGGGCACTGCTGGCCGGCCTCTTCCAGCGGAGGCTGCTGCGGGGCTGCACCCTGCTGCTCACAGCCCGGCCCCGCGGCCGCCTGGCCCCGAGCCTGAGCAAGGCCGACACCCTGTTCGAGGTGACTGGCTTCTCGGATGAGCAGGCCCGGGCCTACGTGGCACGTTACTTTGAGTGCCGGGGGACAGCTGAGCACCACCAGAGAGCCCTGGCCCTCCTCCAGGACCAGCCCTTCCTCCTGAGTCACGCCCACAGTCCTACTGTGTGCCGGGCGGTGTGCCAGCTCTCAGAGGCCCTGGGGGACCTGGGAGACGAGGCCGAGCCGCCCACTACGCTCACGGGACTCTTTGTGGGGCTGCTGGGCCCGGCGGCCCACGACGGCCCCCCGGGGGCCCTGGTGGGACTGGCCGAGCTGGCCTGGCAGCTGGGCCGCAGACACCAAGGCACCCTGCGGGAGGACCAACTCCCAGAGGAGGTGAGGACCTGGGCTGTGGCCAGAGGCCTCGTGCAGCCCGCCCCGGGGGCCCCAGGGACCAGGCTGACCTTCTCTAGCTTCCTACTGCAGTGCTTCCTGGGCGCCATGTGGCTGGCCCTGAGCAGCGAGGTCAAGAGCAAGGAGCTGCCACGCTATCTGGCCCTGACCCCCAGGAAGAAGAGGCCCTACGACAACTGGCTGGAGGGTGTGCCGCGCTTCCTGGCTGGGCTGGTCTTCCAGCCCCGCGCCCGCTGCCTGGGGGCCCTGGTGGGGCCGGCGGTGGCCGCCGTAGTGGACAAGAAGCAGAAGGTGCTAGCCAGGTACCTGCGGCGGCTGCAGCCAGGAATGCTGTGCGCAGGGCGACTGCTGGAGCTTCTGCACTGCGCCCACGAGGCCCAGGAGGCCGTGGTCTGGTGCCACGTGGTGCAAGAGCTGCCCGCCTGCCTCTCCTTCCTGGGCACCCGGCTCACACCCCCCGACTCACACGTGCTGGCCAGGGCTTTGGAGGCCGCGGGCAGAGACTTCTTCCTGGACCTCCGCAGCACTGGCATTGACCCCTCTGGGCTGGGGAGCCTCGTGGGACTCCGCTGTGTCACCCGTTTCAGGTGGGGGCTGGGGACGGGAGGGGGCTCCCCAGTGCCAGGCGCCAGCTGTGGTCTTGCCGCTGGGTCCAGTGCTCCCTCCGTGGGGTCTTGCTTATTAGTCATAGCTGCTGGACGGGGCAAAATGGATCCCTCCCCTTGACTGTTAAAATGAGGGTGTTGAGGCTCAGAGAGGGGCAGTGGCTTGCCCAAAGCCACACAACCAGTGAGAGGCAGCGTCGTTCTCTCAGGCCAGCCCGAATCTAATACCAGCCTGGGATCAAGGTGGTTTTTTTCTCTTCATCCCCAGATCAAGCCACGGCTTCCTTGTGCTTAGGTTAAGTCCGGCTCTTCCTAGCCTTCCTGCCTCCGTCTTTCCTCTTCCATCCCACTTTTGTTTTGTTTTTTGGGTTTTTTGGGTTTTTTTGAGTCGGAGTCTCACTCGGTCGCCCAGACGGGAGTGCAGCGGCCGCTCCCGGCCACCGCAGCCTCGACCTGC